ATATGAAAATCTAACCTTAATTTAGAAATTACCGGCAATACAAAATCCGGCCACCTAATTGTTAACCTTAGCCGTACAATCTTATGCAAAGCGTTAGTCAGATATGTATTACATATATACTGTATTATTTTTTATATAAAATTTGTTATAAATTGTGTAATAATCAAGAAAAACAAAAAACAAAAAAAAACAAGCATTAATAAAATTTACACCAATACGTACTAATCACCTATAACATTTTTTTTTTTTCATAGACTTCATGTGATCAAATGCAATTAGGCGGTAGCGGTAGCGGTAGTTACTTTTAATACTTAAGAAATATTTTCAAGGTGCTACCCTGTACCATACAAGGAACTTTTAATAGTAACTCTCTAACTATAATTGGCAGCGCATTTAGCATTCAATCTTCTAAAGCCGGTAACACAAATGTCATCAGTTGTCATAAGACTTAAGCGGAACCCTTTATAGTAAACATTGAAAAAAGAAATTACTCCGGTACTCCGATATAAAAAAAACCATTCAACCTCGATGTCAGTGAACTTTTTTCAAATAAATCTGTTATCATGTCTAAAGGTCCATGGAGTTGCAATGTATGAATCATATATACGATCATCAGATTAATTTTTAATTTCAATAATGATTTTCCTATCGTCACTTGAATTTTATAGGAAGATGTATTATTAACGAAACTTGTTGAAGAAACGCCTAAAAAACAAGACCAAATACATTGGGTTGAAATTGGAAGAAGGATGAACTCTCGAACTTCAAAGCAATGTAGAGAAAGGTACGCAAATTAATTTTTTAAAAATGCTGAGATTAACACTATTTAATTGATTAAATTGGCAGTTCAAATTTATTTATGCTTAATTTTTATTTTAAAAAAAAACCAATTGACAATATATGCACTTTTATTTTTTAAAAACATGAAATTTATAGATATAGACATCATCTTGATCCTACAAGTAATTATTACTTCAAATATGTTTATTCAGTTTGTAATTTTCATGATATTATTTGAGTATACCTTTCACTAAATTTATTGAATATAAACAAAAATATAGTCAACCGGGGTGCTCTCAGTGAAGAAGAAAAAGATTTAATCTGGGATTGTTTAACTAAAGGTATAGCCTCGCATGCATCTATTGCAAAATTGATTCCTGGGAGAACGCCTCTGCAAATAAAAAATTATATTTACCGAGAAAGAGCTAAAGAGAAAGTAAGAATTAAAGCGAAAATGTCGCTACCAAATATCTGTAATGTTTCAACAACGAGAAAATTAGAAAACTTAAGGGGGGTTTGAACATTTGAACATTTTGATAGAAAGATATATACTGTATAAATATTATAATTTAATTTTGATATCTAAAAAGATTTTCATCTCTTCAATGATATCCTTTTTCGTTTCAAAGCGGGACTTGTCACGAATGATATTCATTTAATCTATACATACTTTATTTCTAAACTTATGTAGCGAGTGTTATATACTGTATATTTAATTTATACTCACTACATGCCTTTGTGATTATATATATTTAAATAATAAATAAATAAAATATCTATCATATATATATATATTTATAGCATTCAAATCTTTGATTATCATAAACCGCGCATGCATGTTATTCCCCTGACGATGATCTTAAACGATTAATTTTTACAGTATACCGATACGTATAGTGATAGCAGTTATCATCAACGTTAATATTAACTTTAACATTAGCGTTAAACGTAATGAATCTTACGATAAAATAGGAGTTGTAAACTTTTTAAAACTAAAACAGAATTCGTTGGGTTTCGGAACGCCGCTTCGCATTTTATCTATATTAAAAACAATTTGAACACTGGTTTTAGGTTTGCTTAAATGTCACATAGATTAAATAAATAAAGAAAATACATATGATAATTTGCTTAACTAAAACTAAACCTAAACTTAGTGTTCAAAAAAATTACATTAAATGTCACGAGAATACTCTACTTAATCAGATCGACTGTATGACACTTGTACAACCTAGAACCGTTATTAGCATTAGGCGTTTTAAAATCCCGGCAATAAATTCCTCACAGACATGAATTATTATATACTCTCGCGATTCATCTAGAATCTGGTTACTTATTGTGTCTCGACTTGAGTTTCTCCGTTCTGCTCCAGAAATTAATACAGTATGTTATCGAAGATTCTATTACTTATATTACTTATAGAATTTATTACATATATTTATGAATTGAAATTTTTCATTCTTTAATTTTTTTTTTTGATTATGTAATTTCCTCAAGATGGCGCCTCAAATTATAAAGTTTTTATGATCGACTTATCGTATTTCCTATATTGCTGTAGATTATTATATAACAAGGTAGTAAACATGCAAATGGATTATCTAATTTAAATGTTGTCAATGAACACGTTTGGACACAGTTCGAAAAGTGTTACACGAAAAGAAATGCCAATAACACAAAAATTTTATCTACTGAATATAATTCAAATATCCTTAATAATTTTTTAAATTATAAATGTACTTGTACGCTCTTGAACAAGTCAAAGAATTCTTCATAAAAGCTGGTAATAACTTTGATTTTACCCATTTTTGAAAAATGATTAGAAAAATATTTATTGAGTAATACGTAAGTACAATAGTTGATTAGAGGAATACCGGAAAACAGTATCCGGATCTTTTAAATTCTCAGAACTTGGTTAGTACTATTTCATATTAATTTCTAAAAATACTACAAATAACAAAATTTCTACAGTATTACATGCTGTATTACTGCATACTAAGATGTGTATAAATGATTTCTATATGTATCATTGTGAGATACGTACAAAATTTTGTAGGTACGTAGTTAAAGTGTAAAGAAATCTTTGCCGATGTCTAATTACGTATAAGGCGTTAAAAAGGATCAATGTAATGTTAATTTTTATGTAGAAGGATACTGCAATGCACGAATAGCTGAATAGCGTAAAGGCAGTTAGCATTATTTGTTATTAATTTTTCCATCAATTGGTACGTACGTAGGTACGTATTATACTATTTAGGTAATGCTACACTGTTGTTTCTACATACGTATTGTACGAACGTACCAGTACGTACGTAATGTCACATTCTGATTAATAATTTACCTCAATTATATTAAAAACTCGGAATATATAATATTATGTATAGTATAGAATCGCAAATATGTATAGTATAGTCAATAAATTAAAATGGAATATATAATATTATGTATAGTATAGAATCGCAAATATGTATAGTATAGTCAATAAATTAAAATATACAAAATG